GAAGAAGCTAAGATACTAATATTCAGTTCTACTTTCTACTGAACTGGCAAAAAAAAGTATAAATTATATTTTAAAAAAGATAGCGTGCGTTCACACCTGACACATTTGGTCCACTTTAAACAGACCAGAGTTCGTTTCCTATGTTGGTCCGGACCTTTTATGCAGGTGAGAATACACTCATGAACACTGGTGCGGATTAAACAACTGGACCAAGACTCATTTTTGAGGTGGAGTCCATCCGTTTCCAAACAAACTCTGGTGTGGTTCACTTCTGGTGTGAATACAGACCGGCCTCGAACTGAACCAACCACAGCAAATGTGCCTTTTTGGACTTCACAAGCCACCGTTGTTAAGCAACATTAACCCTTCAGTGATGCTAATGCTAACACTGCGCTACAAACAATGAGCCAGTGTGGGTCAGGACACGCGGAGCCTCTTGTCTCCTTTAGGTTGCAGCATGCATTTGACAACGCTGTCCCAAAATTATAAGTTTATCGTCGCAAAACGCCACTGAATGAGCTGTTCTTGATATTCTTAGTAGTCAGTTGTAACAGCTCTAACTTTATATCTGGGTCTGTGCTCTGTCCCACCCCGTCATTTCTGTCCAATGGGAGCATTAACAGTCACCTGCGTAGCTTTGTTTATAAATTATAATCCACTTGCATAAAGCACAATGTAAAAGCAAACCGCACCAAAGTGAAAATATAAAATCTGCTATTTGGACAGGATCAAACAACTTTCCTGGTGTGAATATATCCATAGTTTATCAGACTGGGTATATTTCTGTCCATGTAAACAGAGTCACTGTTCATTATTAAAAAGCTGCTGTATCTAAATCTTTATAGTGAAAATCGTGCTGCTTTTTTGTTTATTGTTGATATTTGCAGGTTTATAGATCACAATCGCTTGACAGCTGAATAAAAACAAATCTAATTTAGTTTTCCTGGWGGTACAGTGGAAACACTAAATCAAACCTTGGTACATCCTGACTGATGAACATAATGACACATGCTCTTACTAATCAACAGAAGACGAGCTATTTTCTGATTAAAATGAAAGGCGGAAAAAAAGGAGTTTCATCTGGATAATTTCTTGTCTCAAAGACTTTGCTGAAAACTGGCAGAAAGCCTGCATTTAAATCACCAGGGCTAGAATGAAAGCAGCTCAGTGAGAACTCCAGAGCAAACTTCTTCTAATTTTCCCACTGCACTCCTGGAATATGTGATTTCAATTTAGAACGTTCATAACAAAGACTTTCTCTACCAGTTTTTTTTCCATCTCTCGCCTTTAGTTAAAACCTCAAAGGCGAGATATTGGRGGGAGGCACTCAGGCAGCGGAGATAAATTACTGTGGCAACACAAGTTTCCTTCTAAGTGCTCTAAATGACATAAGGTGCTGTCAGTAATGACTTTTTCTTTTATTCTCGCTGCATAAGCAGATTCAGGGTTTATTAGTGAGATAATTAGTCTGTCCTTTTGAGATGCATCACCCCCAGAGAACAAGCCCGACATACGGATACACACCAACTTCTTCATTCAGCTTCAGGCTGGAAGGGACCAATTACATGCCACTTACTCCACTTATTGCCCTGCTTATTATGTCTGCACTGAAATAAAACTAGATTTAACACGTGTTACAATAATACACGTCTCAGAACACAGAATTAACAAAAGAGGAGGATTCTTTTATTGACATTTGATATTATGTTCACGTTACTTAAAATTGTTTAATGACTTTGAACTAAACCAAGACAGATGAGTTTWGAAGGCCAATCCATCAAAACAAGAAAAATACTTCAGCTAATATTTCTCACATGGATAATAACTCATCTCATACCCACTTAGTGACCCATTTACTTTCATTCTGCTTTAGTTAAAATCAAGCTAATTTTAGGTGGTCATGTTGTAAGACAGGAGTGTGGCCTAGTGACTCTTTGTAGTGTTGACACCAACAGTACAAAAAGTGAATTTTATTTATTACTACAATAGAAAAGGTTTGTTTTAGAAGTTCTCCTGTACAATTGTATACGAATCTAAATAAAATGTATGTAACAAACACACATCTACACAAAGTAAAACAGATTTTGCCTATGTTTATGCTGACGTTTATGCTAGTAGGTTTTTCATCGTTTCAATTTGTAGCCACATGGAATGATCTTTCTATGAAATCCATCACAATAAAAACATTTCACCATAATTTAGGTTCAAGAGAAAAACAGAAAGTAGACTTTTGCACATATTTTATTACAGTGTAATGAAATAAGATGCTCTACAAAATGTTCCAAGTCTCTTTGAACGGGTGAAGAATTAGAAGAGCTATAAAACTACTTTTAATAAATTAGGAGTTCTGCCTTTATTAGAATCTCAGTAAGTCATAAAATCGCCAAAAAACTGGTCTAAATTTTGTGTTCATTTAATATTTTTATTGGGATGAAGACACACTCTTTGTTATTTTTAAAATGGGACAATTATATTAAGAATAAACATTTTTTGTAAAAAGTTGAAACTGAGTTGAACACAAGATCAAAAAGCAATAAAGGAACAAAACATAAAAGCAAGGGGTAACAACATTGTTGCTAAACCTACCAAAGGCTATAAAGCTAAAAGTGGCTAAAAGAAAAGCAATAGTTAAGAGCAGTAAAAGATAAGTTAAAACCTAAAAGTAAAAAAAGGCTGCCTAAAATTTCAACTAAAGGCTGAAAGTTGCAAAGTGCTAGCTCAAAGTCAAAAGTAGCAAATGGCTAGCTAAAACTTGCAGAAAGGTACCAAAAGTTAAAAGAAGCACAAGAAGATTAAAAAAAACTTGTTGATACTACAACAAGATGATTCCCATAAGAAATTTCAGCCACTTGATAGCTGACTTATGAAGTCAGGCTAAAGTTTTCACATCTTCTCAGATTCTACTTATCCAGGGAGTGTGCAAATATGCAGAAACAATTGGAGCTCAAAAGCTAAATAAAACATTTGAACAAAAACACACAAAACCAATAAGCCTGGACAGATAATAGAAACTTCCTCATTTCTCACAACCGCTTCATGAGATGAAAAGAACATCACAGCTGCCAAGAAAAGTCTTGTTTTCAGGAATGTAAACAGTAGCTTTACAGAACCTGTTTTTCAATAAGTTATTTTTCTCTGTGATCTTTTTGTTTCTTTTAAGCACTTCCTTAAAACAATTTAATGATGTTAGGCTCTTGCCAGGTCAAACAGAGGCTAAACCTACATTTAGAGTTACTAACATTACTTTGATCTGTGCTGGCATAAGATTGTTGTTGTGCTAATAAATGTTTAACATCGTTCTCCTCATTCTCATTACTCAACATTTAAAATATTCACAGAAAACACGAGGGAACAAAAATGTGCTGCATCTAAAAGGACAAAAAGTCTTACCTGCACAAATCCTGGTCTGGCTCCTGCTCATGGAGGAGGGGTCTGTGACTGTCTGGGCCTGGAAACACAATTTAACAAATTTAGAAAAAGTAGGGACATGAAAATCAATGACAGAACTAATCTATAGAGACCAAGGCCACATTCATACTGCAGTGGGTACGTGACAAATCAGATTTTTTTCAAATCCAACCCCAGCCTTTTCAGTTTTTGGTACTGAATCGAATACATACCTGGGGCCTCATGTACAAAGACTTGCGTGGATTTCTTACTGAAACCTGACATTCGGTCAAATCCAGAAAACGGCGTACGCACAAAAAAATCCAGATGTATCAAACTGTGCGTACGCTGGAATCCACGCACATTGCTTTTGTGCATCACAATTAATGTGGAACTGAGCGCACGTGAGACACCTCCCCTGACACGCCTTCATAAACATATGTTAAACAGATGCAAATTACTTCCTGCATGTGTGAAGGGCATGTTTGTTTGATCCCTGCGTGATCAGAAATGATTTCTAGAGTCAGGAAAATAATGAATTAAATATAATGTGAGTGAGAAAAAAATCCTAAGTAAAAATAGGAATAAAATATGTTTATCATGCAAAGAACGAGTGATTGTGTGCATGCTGCTGTGTTGCGCAACCGGTTCATCCATCCATTCTGAGTCTGAAAATATTAACTTTGCACAGGAGTTTATTATCATAATTACTGTAAACACAGAGGAACTTAAATGTTTGTTAGGACATAGATCTTAGTTTATTTCATAGCTGAWATGAAGAAACGAGTCTCTGCGCCTCAGTAGAGAGTTCACATGACGTGACGTGATGTTGGAGAGTCTCCACAAACGCTGCGCGCACYGCAGCCTTTGTGTKCAGTCTGTYTGTCTGTCCAGCTTTTGCTCTCCTACTTACAGCATTTTCACAAGTTGTGAAGTGTACTTCCACGTGTCATTTTGGAGAAATCTGCAACAACGTAAACGCAAAGTATGAAACATCACTGCTGGCGAGGGTGCGCGCTCCAGAGCTCGACTATAACTCAGCCTTTAGAATCATATGGATGAGACCATTCCGTCGGTCATGATTCAGCTTTGGATGGACTGATACCTTCACGTTTAGCTAATTCTGTAAACAAAAACAACAAAAGCTGAATGTGACGTCACGTCGTCTTCTGCGCATGCGGGTTGCATCAGGGCTGTGGAGAGTTCACACTAGAGTTTGATAGAGGTCGCATTTAAAAAATAWTGTCATCGTTCAAGCCAAAAAATCTAAATGAAGAATTAAGACCTGCAGTGTGAATGTAGGCCGTCAACTCAYATTTAGACTTATTTTACTCCACACTTTAAAATAAAGCTTCTTAATTTCATACAACTTATGTATTGAGAATTGTTGTCTGGTAAATGTCTGAGAATAACAAAAAAAATAAAAATAAAAATGGTTGAAAATTACAGCCCCAGTTGATATTTCTTGGTTTAGTTTAAAGTCTAGCAATAAAGATGATCAGGAAATATTGTGCCTGATGAGTCGAATATTTGACTTTTTTTATTTAAAGGGATCCCCGATTAGTTGTAACATTAAACTTTATTTGACAGACATATATTTTAACTGCAAAATAAAGACTGTAAAAATACTGTAGGATGTTCAGTTTTGTACATTTTTAAAAATATATTTTAACACGGATAGAGCAATTTTATTTACATGCAAAGCATTCTGGGTAAATGATGACGTGGGTAGGTCATCAGCGCAAGGCTGCTAGCGAGCTATATCCACCCTGAAGGTTAATCTTGGACAATATCTGATGATTGTCTCTTTTAAATGAAACCAGAGAGCGTTGACAGAGAGGAGAAGGTAGAAATGACTCAGCCTGTAACTGAAAATATAGACGGAGGACAACAGAGCTGCTTCATGGAAGAAGAACCTCRGCTTAGCCTGTTAGCCTTTGCGCTAGCACTGACGCTATATTGCCTTATGCATTAGCTCAGCGCTGGTGCGACAAACAAGCTAAACTGAGGTCCTCCATCCATATTTTCAGTTACAGGCTGAGTCATTTCTACCTTCKCCTCTCTGTCAACGCTCTCTGGTTTAATTTAAAAGAGCAAATCATCAGATATTGTCCAAGATTAACCTTCAGGGTGGATATAGCTCGCTAGCAGCCTCGCACCGAAGACCTATCCATGTCATCATTTACCCAGAATGCTTTGTGTGTAAATAAAATGGCCCCGTCCGTGAAATATATTTTTAAACATTTAGTTTAAAAATTATAAAAACTAAACATCCTACAGTATTTTTACAGTCTTTATTTTAGTTAAAATATATGTTTATTAAATAAAGTCTAATGTTACAACTAATCGGGGATCCCTTTAAGAAGAAATGTTRTAACAAGTCAGCAAATACTTACTTKTATTTTGACAGCCCTGGTGTGTTTCTGAGGGCCCTTCTCTCACAGGACTGCCTTCTTTCTCCTGAAGCACCTCGGACACCAGAGAAATCAGTTTCCCCAGCCTCACCAGCTCCTTCTGCATCTCTATTTTTTGCTAAACAATAACAAAAAAAGCAGTAAACATAGCAGTTTTTACACTAATCATTTTATTACAGCACAAAGGGGATAAGATGCAATTGAAAGCTGCAATGCAACACTTCCTGCAAATAAATAAATAAAAAGCCCAAACTGGCAGCTTTTTCTACTGAAGCTCTTTGAAAATAGGAAATTTGTTACTACTGCTGCTTTTTGTTATTTCAGTTTATCCTTTGTGCTCATGGAGCAAATGCATTGATTATGTTCAAATACACAAATATAAAAAGGTATATGCCACAGCGCTGTGTTCTCAGCTGTGTGTGTAATCTTGGGCCCTTTCTGAACCCCAGGGTTTGAAACTCGAACTCCTGAGTCAAATACAGTTGACAGATAAAAGTGAGAGTGCTGGAAGATGGATGAGGTACAAAACAAAACTCATCCTCWAGGCAGCATCTCCTCGAACGTAAATGAAATGCAATTTAGAAAGCTGCTGAGGGGGAAATTTTTCACCGAACTAGGCAGTCTGTCATCCAGCTGCTGACAGTTGGGTTTAGGGAAATGTGGTGGCTGCCCTCTATGGGGCATGATGAGATGGTGCACAATGAAGGCAAATAATGCAGAACCAGCAAGGGATGCAGAATAAAAACATCCTATTTTTTAGTAACATCTCTTCAATGTCTTTTTTATCATTTATGCAGCTAGATGAGACAAGAACGTTACTGGCTGTTTAATCATATTTACCTGTGTCTCAAGGACTTCACTTGAGAATTGAGATGATTCCATGGGACCAGTGTCATTTTCTGGAACATCACCTGCAGAGAAGAAATGATCAAAATGCTGTCTGCCTGCATGTTTTCAGTTTTTATTTTCAAAAACTTTTGCAGGRAAAAAATGAACAAAATTAAAGGCCTAGCATGCCTTGAAAGAATGCCTATCACCTGCCAAAGAGCCATCGTGACTTTGAAATGAAATATTTTGCCAACATAAAGAACTGACTCCAACAGTGAGAGGCACAGTTTTAAACAAAAATCTTGTGCTATCTTTTAGCACTCAGAATGGGTGGTAGTGGTGGGGTGGGGGGGTCAGTTGAATCTGACTTACTCCTGAATTTACAGATGTGCAGCCAATGATTTCTTTTCAAAGTTTCATTAAAATTTGTTCAGTGGTTCCCCGCATTTTGGTGGCAGGGGATAAACTTATTTCTAAGGTATTTTGCCTCCCCATAATAAACACAATCCCAGTGGATTAGCTTACATTCATCTGGTGTGCCAAACAAGTCCACAGATGCTTGACTAGAGTTGAGACCGTCTGGACTGGGACACGTAGGTGGAAAACGTTGTGGTTCTGCTCCATCGGTTTTATCGCAAACACTCTTGCACGTCTTCTCGCCACCGGAGCCTCCCTGGTCTTCAACTCCAGCAGGTGGGTGGGTTGATGTTCCGAAGAGTTGAGTCAAAGTTGGTAATTCCTCCTTGGAACCACTGCTATTGGACTCAGATGAAGACTCCAGCTTCTGAGCTGTTCTCTTCTTCCTCAAGTTGGATTTAATGGAAGAATGGGTGCTAACCTCCCCACTACAGCTGCTGGTTGTTTTGTAAGTATTCTGTAGAGCTGGGGCCATCAGATCATTAGGGGTTAAAGAGGCCTCTGCATTTAGGTTATGTTCATTTGGGTCGATCTCTGTCGCTTTACCAAAATCAAGCTGACCCTCTCTTACCTGAGAGTCCTTTGAGGCTTCATTTGGCTCTTCAGGTTCAACAGTTGTGAACTGGAGGCCAGAATCTACGACCTGAGAGACTACAGGGCTTTCTCTGTCAAGCTTTGAGATTTTATTGGGACTGAGACCAACAGAGTAGCTACTATCAGGGAACGATGCTTCTACCACAGGGTGATGTGGTTTATCCACAGCAGTTTTCCTTTGGAAGGGTGAGTTGGAAGGAGGAATTAAATCACTGCAAGACGATTCGTCCGCATTTTTAGAGCCCTTGACTATTTCKCTACACATCTGCTTTTGTGAAGTTTCAATGCCACCTTCTGCTTCGGTCCCATTCACAGTTCCTTTGTCTGACAAACGACTCCTCTTTAGATTTGTGTCCCCAAGATGAAAAGATTTTCTTTTAGCAGCTTTAAAGCTCCTGAGAAGTTGCTCCGTGTCCAGCTCACTGTCATTTGCTTCGCTTTCTGTCTGGGCACATTTAGCCTCGATAACCGGGGGTTCCTGCTGAACTTCATTGGGAGGACTATTTGCTGGCTTGTCGTTTTCATATGTTGGCGCTATCACAGATGCGTCAGATGTGTCAGCACGAGACTCTGCAACAACTTCAAAGAGAGTTTCAGGATGTGGCTTTTCCTTTTCAGCTTGTGCCAAATGAAAGGTTTTCTTACTGGACTCCAGGTTTTCAATGCCTCCAATGTCTTGATCATAAACACATCCATTTGTTTTAGTGGCATTTGGTGCGAAGTTCAGTGTTTTACCTTTAGTGACTTCAGATGACTTTGTAACATTTCTGTCCTTTTTGGGCACACAGGGTTTCAGAGTTGCTTTCTTGTGACTTCCCTGGACTTCTTCTACACAAAGCTGAAGTTTTTTACTCCTGGTCCTCCTAAAGACAGGGGTTTCTTGGTCTTCACTGCTCTGATAATTCTCAATTTGTACTTGAACTTCTTCTGATCTTTCTCTGAGCTTAGAACTGGTCTCCCTGTTCTGAACTCCAACCAAAACAAGAGGCTTTGCACATTTTTTGAGCTTCTTTTTGTCCAATCTTGTGGTTTTACTGTTACTACAAGCTGCTTTTTTCTGCGCTGGACTCTTTAAATTTACCTGACCTTGATCTTGCAAGTCACTGTCAACTTGTTGCACAGTTTTACTAGTTATTTTCTTAGTAACTGTTTCAAGTTGCTGTTGTATAACATCTGACACAGGACAGGTAACATCATGTTCTTCGTTTTTGTCATTTACAGATATTTGGTTAAACTCTTCGACATTTTTAGTCATATCACAATTATGCCCAGCTTTCATCTGTTCGACTTCTTTAAAAAAGTCACTGCTGGTGTCGTCTTTATTTTCTATCCCTTGCTGTTCTTTAGAAAGAGTTGTATGCTTTTTCTTCCTCAGTTTGGAAACTCTTTTGTGGGACAGTACCTCTGCAGCTGTCGGGGGATCAAAACCCTTACTTTTTCGTTTGTAGACCGCACCAAAAACCTGTTCTTCTAGGGCTTTGGCATGATCTTCTTTCCTAGGATTCAACTCAAAACTGTGTGGTTCAACATCCAGAGTTGACGTGGACGAGTAGCTATCCGAGTCATGTGCCTTTTCCAGAGGTTTCTCCAACTCAGTTTCAGCTGGAACTTTCATGAGCCACTCTGCAACTTTCTCTAAACTTTTCTTCTTTTTCTGCTCAAAAATCCTGTCGGACTCTAAATCAGTTTTCCGCTTCGTTCTTGAGGACTTTCTTAAAAGTCTGCGTTCGGTCTCTTCTTGAGCTGGGGCTTCCAGTTTGGCAGATTTCTTTTTGCTTTTACTCCCGTGTGTTGGTTTTTCCCTAATGTTTGTTGTTTCTGGTTCCAAATTGTCTGTAGTGCTCGACATTTTATTTTCAGACATTGGTGGGCCATCACCGAGGCCGCTATCCAGGCCTTCATTTTCTGTCATAAAAGGAGATGAATCTTCCAGGTCCATGACTTGTGCAAATCCATTCTGAGCTATAAAATGAAACAAAGATAAGACGATAAATGATATGATAAATGTCTTCTACTAGAAAAAAAAGGAAACAATTCTCAAACGAAATATTTAAAGTTATATAGAGGATACAGAAGTTTATACAAAACTTTGTGTAATAAAGACATCCATGTAGCTTTGCGACTCATTTGGATAATTCCTAATCAAGTGGTTTGTATGGCAACTAAACCACTTATTTTCTAGATTCATTTAAATCCTTTGCTGTTTACCTTGTACACTTATGATTGTGTTGCTGTCCATCCCAATAATAATATGATTGTCATACATGCAGATGATACTACTATTATTGGTCTGGTGAACTCTAATGATGACTCTTATTATCAATCTGAGGTAGAACATGTTGTGCAGTGGAGTGAACAAAACAATTTGGTGCAGAATACTTCTAAAACATATGAACTGATTGTGGACTTTCGCAAGAACAACATTCATCTGCCTGTTATAATAAATGGCACAGAGGTACAGAGGGTTGATAGTGTTATTTTTAGGAGTGACACTTTCAAAAGATTTGAGATGGCATCTAAACACCAATATTGTTGTCAAAAAGGCTAGACAGAGACTCTTCTTTTTACGCAAACGTAAGGAGTTCACTCTAAACAGACATATTCTTTAAATTTTTATCATTGTGCAACTGAAAGTCTTTTCATTAGCTGTATCACAGTGTGGTTTGGAAATCTCACCAGCAAAGAAAGGATAGGCTTAAACAGAGTGGTACGCGCTGCTTGTAAAACAATAGGCTGTGAGTTGCCAACCTTGGAGGATATTTTTAAAAGTAGACATTTTTTCTAAGTTTTTTCTATTATTAATGATCCAACTCATCCTGCTAAAGACAGGTTTGAGCTTCTTCCCTCGGGGAGATGGTACCATTCTATCAAATGTACTACGTCTCATCATTTAAATTGTTTTTTTCTTCCACAGGCCCTGAGGGCTTTGAATAATACACATTAACTTTCTCAAGTAACATGGAATGTAACTTGTTCTGTGAAATTTTGTCTGCTGCAGATGAGGGGTTCTGTGTTCAGTGTTTTTAATTTTAAATTTTTTAACTTTTTTTAAATTTATTTTATAATCTTTTAATTTTTTTATGTGTGCATGTTGAGGATGTGAGCTCTGCTATTGTTTTTCCAATGTAGTTTTTTTTTTACTGCAACTGTCAAATAAACTTGAACTTGAATTAGACTGTGAATATTTAGATAACACTCTTCTTTGCTTATGTTTAATGGCATAAATTTTAAAACAGACTGAAGTTCATATGACAGCTGATTTTAGGTAATAAAATGAACTTTTTACCTTCTACAGTTGAGGAGATGGACTTCAGAGGAACATCCCTGTCGTTCTGTTCCATGTTGCCCAGGTCAATATTAAATGTGTTGCCAGATAATATGTTGCAAGGTTTTTCAGTTACGTCCACATTTTTGACTCTAAGCAATGGAAAAACAACAACAACAATAATAATAATAACAATAATAATAATAATAATAATAATAATAATAATAAACATTATACATGACACATAACAGAAACTAAAGAACTTGATTGAGGGTCAGAAGGCCATAATCTAAATCTTCACAATTCTTACCTGGAGTCTCCTCTCTGTTGGGACATTCCAGTGAAGTCTGAAAGTGTAACAAAAAATATATATTTCATTATAATGCAATTCAAAATAAAAATTCTATAAGTTTATTAGTTAAGGGTATTAAGTCTGTGATCTTACAGTTTGTTCCAGTGTCATTCTCATATGCTTTTATCATGTCCTGCAGCCCTGTAACAAGTCTCTGAAACCCAGGACTCTCCTGCAAACCTCTGTAACAACAGACATTTTTGTGAAGAATATTAAATACATTTATTATTGTGACCACAATGAGTCTGGTCAGTGTCAACACATTGACTTTGTCCAACCTTTTGGTTATCTTGGATTTACACACAGGACAGTTAGCTTTGCTTTGTTTGGAGCCATCCAAAAGTTTCATTATACAAAACCTGACAAAACAGAAAATATTAGATGTAGGAATGAAAGGCAGTTTCAAAGAACAATCTCAGGAAGCTCACACAACACAACAGCTCCTTACTTGCAAAACTGATGATCACACTTGGTAGATATTGGTATTGTCATTATATCCAAGCTAAAGAAAAGAGAACATAAACACCAAATGATAGATGGAGGAGATCTTAGACAACAAACATTTTTTCTTGCCCCCCCAAAAGTCTCACCATATAGGACATTGCAGAGTCTCCCATAGGGCTGTAATCCCCTTTTTAACATCTGAGGCTTTTGGGTTTTTCATGGTGATTACTAAAGGCTGCAAATGATAAATTAGACTTTGAAACATGGCACTCAAAACAAGCTGTCAACACAAAACTATTGCAAAAATAATAATAATAATAATTTGAGAAGAGTTTACATTCCAAGCTAAATAGAGCTGCTTTTAAGAAACAGGAGATAAAACAGCATGGGTAAGGTGCACTAATATCGAACATAATCAAACGCTTGTCAGCTACAGTTTAAATAATTGAAGTTTTACTTTGCAGAAAATCAACAGCGCAGGAGAAAACTGTGATGCACTTTTTTTCTTAATGGACAAAATAGCTGACAAACAATGTTTTTCATTGTCAGTCACTGTAAATGAGTGTGGATCTACTTGCACGTCATACAGATAAAATAAAACACACAACATTAACAGCTTTTATGTTTTATGATTTTATGACTATCCCGAACCGTGTCTTTGATGTCCTATCACTGACTGAATAACGACCCATAACCTTATCCATACACAGCTTAAATCTAGTCACGTTTTCCCATGTGCACAAGGCTTGCATTTAATGTTACTTAAAGTACTTTATGTAAGTAAAATTGATTTAAATAGTTACAGTAAATACCAATATTAAAAACTGAAATAATGGCCAGTTACCGTAATAGTTTTTATATTGTATAAAGGAACAACAATAATAATATAATATAAAGGAACAATAATAGTCTAATATAATAATATATATAATATTCTAGTGTAAATTCAGTATTTTAAATAGTTCATTTTTTTTAGCTAATTTAAATGTCTTAGATGACAGCTGTTTTTTTGTTTTTGTTTTAAAATTATAAGAAATCCTGTGTATCCTAATTTTAAACGTGTATGTAAACATATTTCAAAATTAAAGCACTGCTTCTTTGCAGATTTCTGACGCTGATACCGGGAAATAAAAGTAAAATTATTAATTTTTCTATAACTGATCTAATGTGTGTTTGACAGAGATGTATTTTTAAAATATATTGGAAAGAGTTCATTATTTAAAAGTTATCGAAACAAAGAAAGGTCACATATCACGGTAGAAAGGAAAATAAAGGCAAACGCACAAACAACACAGCTCAATATTATTAATTCTTCATACTCAATAAAGTTACATTTGTCTTGTTTTGGATTTTTATGCTACAGCTAAAACAAGCTGGCTACTATGGAGCTTTACGTAACAGCACGCTTTACGTCTCTGACTTTAGGACAGCCGATAAAAAACAAGTCATCGTAACAACGAGAAAGACATCACGATAATAGATAATAGTAAAGCGTCTCATACAATTATATTTATCATGTTTTCCGACAGTTTACAAACAACTTCCAACCTCATCCGCTTTAGTTTTCCCGCATCTCCTCTTCTTCTTCCGCTGTGGTTTACACGCGTTTTGCCTTGATGCCGCACAGCGCCCCCTGCTGGTTCAAGATGCGCAACAAACAAACTACTTGCTCAAAACAGGCTTTTGAATGTGGATCCAAATTCTGAAGGGTCTGTTTTCATATCTGATGCTGATCTAAAAAGGTTTTAACTTTACATTATCACTTCAAATCCCACTGTTTGTATGCCCAACACATATGTAGCCTAAAATGTTTTTCAGAGGAAGTATAAGAAGTAAAAGTGAAAAGGAATGACAAAAAACAAAAATATAAAAGCATCAACCTAAGTATAGAAAAACAAAATCCAGACTATAAATTATGATTTCAAAGAGTATTTATTAAATTATAATGCATTAAATGCTGTATAATCTGACAATGAAAATAAATACATTTATTTTAACCATTCTATAAAAATAGTTCAATAAAAGATATTAAAGCTTAGTATAAACCCTGAAAATGCTTTATTTGATTTATAATCTCAGTGATTTAATCATATGATATAGCTGTTAATACAATAGTTATAACCAAATTTTTGTTATTTTTGCAGCAACATGTGTTATTTCTAAATTATGCTTTATTAACTTTTATAAAATCACAGCAAATGACATTGAGATAAAGGCAGATAAACTTCATTCTGTTAAAAATAGTGCTTTCTGCCTGCATAGATAGAAGTACTTATTTAAATGTCCTCGTCTGACACTGGTCAATGCCCAAAAGGACAAACACTTTTTTGTTTTACTTCTTAACATAGAAGATATTTAAAATAACAATCACAAATGAAGGATATTTTATATTAGTGCAGTAATGTGGAAACCAGTCACTTCATAAAAAAAACTAACAGGAAGACCCATGTAGCTGTGCCAACATGGTTCTAAAGAGCTTTAATGAGCAATGTGTGGAAAAAGCAGCAAAGAAGAAATTAGAAGATATTACGGTGCAGTTCAGCAGAACTGCTTCTTTTCTCTTGTGATAGTTAAAAAAACAGTTGTAAACTCTAGCTGCATTAGTGTACAACTTATCAGTAATAAAACAGAAGAGTATATACCACATAYACACAGCAAAAAGACAGCAGAGCAAGACCCACACATATCGTGTCTATGAAAGGTTCATTACAAATATGAACAGAGTTAACTCAGAAAAAGATGATTAAGACAAATTTATGAACTCAAAAAACAACAACGTTGTTTTAGGCATTACTCAGCTTTGTGGGATTTCTATGAAATCTACATGCGGTGATTCRGTCTCACCTAAACTGCTAATTTGCTGTTAAACTCAAAAGTTGACAGTCATTTTGTAAACTTTCAGGTTAGGCAATGTTCTTGTAACAACTAAGGTTCTGAAACATTCTACAACTCTTCTTTTATAAAATACACCAAGAGTTGAGTTAAATCTTCTTTTTTTCTCACTAAAAATGTCTATTTACATGTGGACAAATGTGCAAATGTTTTTAAAAATGACCAGAAACACTGCAGATGGGGACTTGGTAGTGGGAGAATGCAAAACTGTCATAAGCCTTAACAGAAAAAAACATCAGAACAAATACATTTAGATTCCTTCATTTTTGCCAAATAAGATATTGTGTAGGCACTAGCTACCTTAAGAGCTGATTTATGCTGATTAAAAATGCCCTTAGGAGCTATAATCTCTATAGATAAATTACTTTTTGGCCATGYACACATGTATTAGTATAAAGGCCACACTACAAGATTTTTTCTATTTTTTATTACAAGAATAAAGTTGCAACATTTCGACATCAAAGTTATAACTTTAAGAGATTAAAGTCATAAYATTACAACAATAATGTTGTAATATCACATCGTGCGAAGTTCTTAGGTATCTGTTAAAAGAAATACTTCATCTTTTAGCACATCAGCATCAAATTTTCAGAAGGACTTTGAAACGATTGCGCAAGCAACTAAATGATAACTGAAGCCGTACTGCAATTAATGGCTGCACTGACAGATTTAGTGGTCCCATAATTTGGAAGGAAGCATGTTGCAATGTCAGTGACTCAAAAATCATTGCAGATTACTTCATAAACACAACGACGTGCATTAGAAGCTGTCCAAAGCAGATTTTAGGAAAATGATGAGGAAAAAGTCAGGAACGGAAAATTGACAGGTCTTGTAAGATTATGACTTTTTCCTCATC